GACTCATTAGCTCTATACAAGAGTTGACAAAGCGCAAGATTCGTCTGCATCATGGAAGGATTATTCCGTGCTACAGGTCATGCCTCTTGTTCGCCGCGGATAGTGGGGTGTTTTAAGTGAGCTGGATTTGACGCACTGGTACCCCCTCTCCACTAGTTGCTGAAGCAGTAGTGCGTCAACAAACGGCTATTGCGAACGATATGATACATTCTTGTCGCTTTCCAATTGAAAAAAAAACGCGCTGAGGCTGCATCAAACCCGTCTCGCCCTGGCACGACCCATCATCCGCAGTGAACAAGACTATAAAAGGCCACCGTCGCTCGAAATAAGAGCGGCTTCTTCCCGAAAGCATAGACCTTTCTATACCAAGCTTTTGGATCAGAAGAAAAATTGGAGAAAAAGAAAAATTGTCAAAAGTTTGATGACAGCAAAATTACTTATTCAAAAGGTCCTACTAAATATGACAAATGCAGTGAGTGGGACACCTCGGAACAATCATTTGTTTTAGGTTTATCCTATCTTTACACTGTTTTCAGCAGGGAAGAGTAATTTCCGGGAACCCTGACATGTTGATGTTTTGTGTTTCTTTCTCCACATAGTAGATGAAAAGGATAGCCAATAATTTAGGTGCAGAAGGAGCCATTGTTTACAATCCAACTAAATCGAACCACATGGTGTTGTATATCTTCAAAAAGCTCAAAATACGCGCTAGATGTCTCTTGCATTTACTCCACCAGACACGATTGATGCCCTGAAAAGCGTGAAATTCAAGACGACCATGCAAATGGTCACTATTCACCAATTTCTGATTCATGGACAAAAGATCAAATTTCAGTCCTATTTTTACATCACTTCTGAGAGTTTTCCTCCATGGCCTGAGTTTTATACCATTTTGCAGAGAATTCCTTGCCCTATATGTCAGTATTCTTAGTTTTCTTCAAGTTTCTCTTTCCACTAATATTTTTGTGATAAAAATGGAGTGTCAGGTCAAATTGAGCATTTTCGACAGCCTCTCTTTTATGCCTACTAATTAAAAAGCTAAAACCGCCTGGGTCCAGCTGCTAAGTGTATGGCCGAAAGGCTACGTGCCGAAAGGCTACGTCTCTTGGGAAGACTAATAATACTTTAAGTGATTCGAAGATTTCAGTTTCGACCTCACAGACAAGCATCGAACCTAATGCCCTATTCTGTCCACTGAGAGCTTACGGAATTACCTTATTAACTGAGAGTCATGCCAAAGATTGAGGGATCGTTAGAGGTCATAGAATGCTTCCTTATCATTATCAAGCATCACCTTCACTTGAGTGGAGAACTTCAAAACCTAGATGGGTTCCGCAGGCAAGATGGCCAGTGGATGGGTTCCGCAGGCAAGATGCCCCCCCCCCCACGCGATGCTCTTTTACAAGGTCCGAATTCCCACCACTTGATAGCTTGAACCAACTTCAAGCTGTCATAAGACGCACCTTTCTTTGGTCATATATGTCACAAGGTTTGAGCTTCTTCTGTAGATTAAGAGCCGAGATACAATTCAAAAAGTAGTTGTCGAAAACTCACTTTTGGGTCGACCCGAATTTTCCTTTTAATGAAATAAAAATCGGCGGAAATCATGAAACAGTAGGGAGGTAACCACCCTATCTTATAGAGCAGGAAATTATCTATCAAACAGTGTAGAACATATTGGGAACAATTGTCGTTTTTCATATAAAAAATTGTATGAACGCCATTACTTATGGGCCAACCCAATACATACCACACCAAACGAGGTTGGCAGACCCATATCCCTACTCAAAGGTCCCTCGTGAGGCCGAGTTTATCTCAGGAGGGGGGGGGAATCCCTAAAGAGACTCGTTCCTAAGCCTCCCCTATGCTGCACAAAGGAATGGGTACCTCAGAACTTCTATCCCTCAACAATTTCATATATCCAATGAACCACTGTTGCGCTCGCTTACAACTTTCCGGTATGCTTGAGGCTGATTATGGACTCTATTGAGAGTTTTTTTTTCGGATTCTCCCAAGTTTAAGGGCCTTTTAATGCAATGGTAGCAGTATAAATGACGCGCAGTTATTATTGGTCAACGCGAATAAATCACCAATCACGTAGCTCACACTTGACTGATGTATCCTTTTCGGTGTATTTTCTAAGACTGCGAATGTACTATCGTGACTAATTTTACCGTCCAAATATTGCAGATGAGCGACTCGTCGCTACTAGGTTCCTGGTCTCATTCTCCTGCCTGCTATCATGAACCTCGAATTCATGATCACACATTGTATTTTGAATTAAGGAAGCTGAATATTTATATACTACTGCCTGTAGCAGCTTTGGGAATCGTATTCAACGCAAGTGCCCTGGTAAGTGAACGTTTAGTCGTGATGGGCTATTCAAAAACAGTCCCCACACTTAACCAACTTGTAGACGCCCTTCCCGTACAAGTACTCAGTTTCTAATTATCCTACTTTCGCGGCATCACAGTTAGTAACAGAGGCGCTGTGGCCTTCATAAGTGGCAAATGTGACGCCTCCGCTGTTGCCCCGCCCACCGAAAGTCAAAGGCTACTTTCTGTCACAAGTTCGGTTTGCACCATGTTTTCTGTTTTGTTTTTCGCTGTTATATTTTATCAACACTGGATGGTGCGAACAAACGACTATTAGGCTAGAGATGGAAGGGTATCGCTTTTCTGGCATGGCAGGTCCGGAGAACTCGTGCAGAGATGCTGCCAGGGATCCTTACGTTGTTCTCCATAATTTTTTGTTTGCTGTTTTCTTTCCTGGAGAGTTTCTTAGCTGCTGCAGCTTTGTCACTGAGCGCCACAATCCACAATACGAAATCGTGGGGTTTGTCTTCGAGTGCGTGAGCACTTCGAAATCTTGTAATCTCCAACGTGTGCATGAGATTTAGATTAGGGTTTGCATCTGAGCGTTAGTAAGAGCCATGGTGGCCCATGCGCAGGCAGGTCTGTCCTAGCGTTGCAGGGGGGAATGGCTACGGAAACGGTAAGAGCGGCTGTTAACAGTCACCGGGCCAGGCATAGACGTAGACAGCGGGAAGGGCACAAGAAAGCGTGAATACATTTCTCACGCCTATCTTCATGGTCCACAAACTGTCTGACGCCGCGCGGTACAACCAAGTCTGTGGGCACGCCCCGTCAGCAACGGGATATGGATTGTAGTTTACACGCCTTTTCTAGACCATAGCGTCCGTAAAACCAACCTAGGTCTGTGGAGACCGCGTAGGGGCATAGTGGAAAATGCAATTTCTGAAGAAATCACGGCACTATTAACCCTTCACTGCCCCAACCTTCGAAGAACAGGCCATTTTCTGACTGACTTTTTTCTGCCTGAATTGGCTGAAAACTTGTTCCTAGAGAAAGTATTGACCTCCTCAACACGAATATCACATCCGCTCGACCTGAAACCTCCTGGCGCCCGAGCTACAGGCGCTGGCGCCAAAATACCGCAAATCACCGGCGCCTGTGGCGCGGGCGCCAAAAAGTTTTGGACTAAGCGGATGTGATATTCGTGTTCAGGGGGTCAAGAGTCAACATTTGAGCCAAATCTGTCCACGGAGAAAAAAGCCGGTCAAAATAAGCATGAAAACCGTCATGAAATTTTGTGATTTCGACTCCACGTTTTGTGCATCTCTCCGGACAGAGGAGCTCTCACAAAGTGGATAGAGCTTCCGTAAATTCCTGAGCCCTTCTGAATCCTTCTGGTCACACCAAAAATCAGTGCGAGTATCTTTGCGGAAAATTGCAAATCTCGCAGCCACTGCGTTCTCCCTTTTGAGTAGCACAAAAACACTTGAACACCTTTTTTTGGGTACAAATGAATTACTTTTACTGCATTATTTTTTCATTTCAGGTTTTTTTGTATCGTCCACCGAAGATATCTTCGGGCGTGTTTGTATATTTGAAAGCGCTACTAATTCTGGATCATGCTCAACTCATGATGACTGCGGCTACTATTGCCGTCCCACAAATTTGTGATCTCCATCACTCCAGCAATCATACCCTCTACGGATTTTGCATGTTTGAAAGGCGATTCCTGAAGCACACAATGCCGAGGTACGGTCGATTCTTATACACGGAAAAATTCGGTACGGTAGGTGGAATGTAAGGTAGCCTAAAATATGTGATAACGACTTTTGCAGAAATAATTGATTGCACAGCAACAAAGAGGGAACCTAGGGCAGGTCCGCTAAGGTGGGGGCAGGGCACATCATTGGTTGGGGATTTGGGTCGACGATCCCCCCCCCCCCTTGGAAGGTGGCTTTATACAATCGGTTCGACCCCCCCCCCCCCCACCTAGTTTCCTCCTCTGTCAGACTGTCGAGCGAGAGGGTATATATAAAATAATATAATAAAATATAAAACGGGAAATATAATGAAATATAAAACGGGAGAAAGCGCGAAAAATTTACAACGGAAAAAAATTTCCCAACCCGCACAGGCAAACACGACCTCCCTCCCCTGAGCAAATGCGATGCCTCCCCCTTCATAGCGTCCGTGAAACAAGAAAATCGAATATTAAAATTTTTTTCTGACCGAATACAACTTTCTACTCTCCCTCCAGCGACCAAATACGACCCTCCTCCCTCTTTTCGGGAAATCTCCAGCGATGATGTGTCCAGACAGCAGCAAAGAGGAAATACGCAAGCCCACTGTGGTGCTGGAGAGGGTGGACAATTGAGGAGATAACTGTGAAATACTGGAGTCGCTATAAGGCAGATGAGGATTGTTACCCAGACTTAGTGTATGAGCTTCGGTGCGTGGGCCAAATCTTCTAGGCAAAAGGGGTAGTCCCATTTCTGCACAGGTGCCTTTCAAACGCTTCCCTTCCTCCTCAAAGTGATCAGCGTCACAGTGATTATCGCCCACTTTGAAATGTCTGGCAAACTGCCGGCAGTGCCTCAAGTCCGTGTGTCACCCACACCGTGTACTGCATTCCGGAAGTCGCAATTTTGGGAGATAAAACTTCAATGAACAAACGTGGAAGATCATATGATACCCCAATTCCCAACGCCATTCTACTGCAAGACATTTAGGATTGAAGCAACTGTCAACACGATGCATGTGTGGACTATCGCTGCCCTTTCAGCTCATCGCTATTGGAAGGTAACTTCGTATTTAACAACATATTCAGTTCAGTATGCAGCCTTGCTCGCTGCGCGTACCAGATGGCAGTATTTGGCGCGGCGCCAACTCGTTCTCCATCGATTGTGGAAGCTTTCAGGCAACCACATTTGGTGGGCCGGATGGCGCCTCGTCAAACTCAGCCCACTGACACGTCCCAACATCCGTAGCGAAAGAAATATTGTACCTCATTTTGCGGTGGCGTCAAATACATAAGAACCTCGACATGAGTTCGTTTCATCTACAGTCCTCATCATTACGGACTGTCGGGGCGGCACAGCCGCGCTGCACTGTGACGCGACAGCGGCTGCGGCTCGGTGACGGTGAATCAGCTGATTTCGATGGAATTCGGCTGCAAATTCCCACTTTTTCAGCTCTTCAAGCTTCTAAAGTGGAAGGTGAGTTATTCTGAACAATTTTGAATTGTACTGGCTCTGATTTCCTTTATTTATGTTTATTATGCTCTTTTCCTTGTATTTTGCCTTATTTCAGGCATTTATTCAAATGGCTTACATTCTTTCAGATTCATTCAGAGTCAGTACAATTTAAAATTGTTCAAAATAACTCACCTTCCACTTTCGAAGCTTGAAGAGTTGAAAAGTGGGAATTCTCGCCGAATTCCATTACATTGCAGCGCGGCTGTGCCGCCCCGACAGTCCGTAATGATGAGGACTGCTATTCTTGTTTAGCGCAGTTTGGGAGACTCGTTTCGCATCGCGCGCAACCCAGTTAGCAACCCTAGCTTGTTGATATCTTATATTTAGACGTCAAATTAAATAGGTCATGCCATGATATACCTTGTTCCATTTCAAAGTAGTGGAAACCAATGTTAGATTACATTCTGAATATAGCCTAGCTCTCAGCTGTCTTTTGTCGAGTTTTTCGAAGTAAGGGCGAAAAATAAACTGCCAGGACTCAGGCTATTGTTACAACTACTTACCTAAGCGACTGACGCCAGGGGGCTCTATTGATTCAATTAGCAAGGATTATTGAGATCTGTTGAGCTACCCGGACTCGGATCTTCTCTACACCCTCTGTGCATAAGATTTACTTCATCAGTAGAGTTACCTCATGCCCGGACGAGTTATAGTGCACACCACATCACGGAGCTAACGATGGGGGGGGGGTGGGGTGGTGGGAAGAGACCACTCAGCACACTGTGACCCTTCCTCTGTGTCCCTTCCCAGTCCAGTGCTCAGGCTTGATGGAGGCTATACTTTCCATGAGCCTATCCCACGACGACTCTGGTAGTCTGCATTCTATGCCTAAACCTTTCGGTCATGAAAAATCTCTGAAACTATACTAACTACGTGTGAAGGGCGCCTGGCTTGGAACGCAGCCAGGGCGGCTTTTCCATTGGTTGTAGCGGGCTCAGGATGACATCACTGTCGCAGCAAGGTCGCCTCGATTGCGCTCGAAGCCGTGCCGCGTCACACACCCTGTCGTTTGCAGGGATAATCGCTAAAGAACGCAGGGGCTCGGCCGGGTGTCTCCCCCCTCCCCTTCCTTCGATACGATAGCACCGATGAATTGTAACTATATCCACACATCAGCTGTGCTCTACTGCAAAAGTGTATGGAAGGAGAGTGTAGCTTCCGTATTACTTCATACTTACTTCAGCTGCAACTTTTACAGATTTCTCGTCCGATGGCTTCGCGTATGAGTGATACCGTAGCACGAGCTCACTGTATGCTGTTAGCTGTGTTCCTGATGGCTCTCTTATTTCGTCTTCCTACGTTTCTCATTGAATTACAGTTGCGATGGATGCCTATCGCTCTTATAACCAAAAGAATTGCTGCCACTGAGGTGAGGCTCCAAGGTCTTCTGAGCGTTTTTTTTTTCGAAGGACGAATTGATTGTAGGGGGGGGGTGTTCAAAGGGTTCTATCTGAATCAGCAGTTTGTAGGAGTCTCAGAAACGCAAACTTCATAATCCTCTAGGTCTCCCCCTGTTCTGCCATTTACCCCAACGCCAAAGTACTGGAGGAATCCTTTGCGGTCGTGGGGAACTCGTGGGCATTCAATTAGCAAAGCATTGGCTCATGAATCTTCCAGGAAAAATGAGCTGTCAAACTAAGGGAAAATGAAAATGCCAAATGAGCTCGCACCAGGGAAGCATGTTGAGAGTAGCCATTAGAACATTAATGATTCCGTGGAAGAATAAGCCGATTGTCATGTTACACAGCGCGAACGGGCACCCCCCCCCCTCACCATCAAATAAAGTAGATTTGTTGAAAATATACGAGGAATTTGCGGTAGGCTAGGTGGAAGAGTAATACAGTGAAATCAACGGATCGTAGTGAATTTCTGGAAGGATCGTTGTATAGCCTTTCGTTATCCGGTGATTTTTTCGAATTTATGCGCCGCTGTCTCAGGAGCACTTCCCGCGATTATCGGGTGGGCGGAGCACCACAACCATTGAGCTTTTTCCAATGGTGCGCCCCTTCTTTTGATACCGTAGAGAAAAAAGCCAATGCGTAGAGCACAGTGGGCAAGAGCTCACTCTTCTGCCAATTTGATTATTGCGAAAGTCTTTTGACTAGAGTTCTTCCAGACTTACTACTTATAATACTTTCAGGTTCTTTCTCCATACAGGTTGATCTATCATTCCATACTTGACCCATTGTTCAATAATATCTTGCCATTTATATGGATGAGTCTGTTCTCGTTGATGACATTGTTTGAAATATTTCGAAGTCGCCATCTGGTACAACATCGATTTGGAATTTTTTTCTCAAAGGCTACCGGTTTCACGTGAGTTATATGTGTACACTTACTCGAAATATAGTACTCACACTAACTGGAACAATAAAAAATTTCTCCCATTTTTCCCATGGGCCGCTAACAAGCAGGAAAACAACTTTGCAGAGCAAGGTATAGTCTTGTTCGCTGCTGGTGCTGGGGCATGTGAGGGGAGCTGGGTTTGGCGCGTGGGAACCCATTTCCCACCAACCTACCACCCACTTGTTGTCGCTTGCCCTCTCAACAGTTGATAGTGAACAGGCTGGCGCCGTGCCGAACTCAGACTTCTGACAAGCCCCAGCATTCGTCGTGAACAAGGCTGTAGTCAACTTTAACACCGAAAGTTTCGAAGAGTCCATGAGGAGGTACAGCTCCAATCCAGTGAAATGTCAGCCTTACGCCTCCCGAATAGAACGATTAGAATAGAAGAAAATAGGATACAGTGTAGAATCCTTCTAAAGAAACCGCAGGGAAGGGCTTCTTCTCCTAACTTTCTGTCCCCGCCCTCTCTCACAAACCCCATCCCCTTGTCCTATAGCATATAAGAACTACTTCTTATCACTACTTAGGGCCGTAGAATCTCTATATATAAACCAGAAGTTGTTTGTTTGTCTGTGCGTCTGTCTGACCGCCTGAAATTTGGGGTTTCGTGGAAATTCACTTCAAGGGAACTGATTGTGCTTGGGATAAACGCGGCATGGGCCAGCATTTGCAGAGCACACACACCTCACCTAAGCTCCGCCCACAATGGGCGGGGTTTTCGCCGAAGTGGACAAAGCCGAGGATAAAAATCACGGTAAAGTTCGGTAATTTTTAGAAAATTTTTTTGACGAAAACTGGACACTGGAAAACACTGGAGCAGTACCCACTTCACACGCGGAAGGAGGATCACCCGCCTGAAAGCGGGCGATCCGACTGGGCCTCAGTAGGAATGCCAGGGACCCACTTCACACGCGGAAGGAGGATCACCCGCCTTCGGCGGGCGATCCGACTGGTTTTGAAAATCTCAAATCTATCTCCGCGCTCACAGGTTCCACGCCAAATCTTCTGGAAGGTCTGAGGATCTGAAAGTGTGAACGGTAACCTAATTGTAGTAAACGCGTCCATATGAGGGGTGGTGGTTGCATAAAGCTCTGGAAATCATCTCATTTGGTTCTATGGTAGTGAGTGCTAACTTCCACTAAGGACTCCAATGGCTAACCTAATTTTGAGCCTTGGAATTATAATAATATTCTGAAAGGGTCATTTTTTCTAATATTTTCAGGCAGCAATACGCCACACGTCTCCTCAGAAAGACCGAGCTCAGCCGGCAAAGACAAGAACTCCGCGCTACAATATCTATCGTATTGATAATATTACTCTATTTATTACTACATACTCTCCGACTTTATATAATAGCACGAAAATGGCAGCTGTTGTTGAACCATCAGTGCCCCACAAGGTTCGTGCTGTCGTTCATAACTAATACTCATCTGGATCCGCACCACTGGTTGGGTGCGACGCAGGAATCTCTCCTATTACTCCTGGATATGCTTGCTCTCTAGGAAACCTTATGGTTAGGGCGACAGATTAGTGCATGAATTCCAGCGCGAAGGTGCAGCCCATATCCCAAAGATGGGGAAGGCGTGGAAGCTGCATACTTCATCTAAACCTTTCGGCGACTTTGGACTTCAAGCCATTATCCACCATAAGACAGCAACACACTTTCAAGGGAAAGATCCTGTGGAAAAGCTCCCTACCCATGCCATAGCTCCTTGTGGATAGCGAGCCACGCCCTCCCCAGCCAGGGTATAGAGCATAGCTGAGGCTGCATTCATGCTCTGCGGCAACGCCCACCGCGTTCCGAGCGTCCGACAGCGTCAGCCGTCAGTAGGGAAGCATAGATGTCGACATAGTAGCGTCTGCCAACGTCTGCCAGCGTCCACCGGCGTCTCAGCGTCTCGAGGGCTACGGAAGTATAGGGATCGATCTAGCGTCTCTCAGCGTCTGCCAGCGTCCATCAGTGTTCACCAGCTTTCAGAGTAGATAGTACGGGGTAGTCGGAGGGAAGGGCGCAGTTCGGTGACGTGAGATCCTGCACTTTCACTGCTTCACTGCTTCCAGTTTACAAGTCTCACCAGAGTGGAGTAAGCTCGTTTAGCCACCATGGGAAAGCTTATCAGCTCAAGAAAAGGCTCTAGATGGTCAGCACATAGATGGGAAGCAAAAATGCCTCCCCCCCC